TCTTTTGGGATCTCACTATGGGCTTACAAAAGCCTCGTTAATGTCATCGTTCACGCTCCTAGTATGGGCGGAGGCATCCAACTATTACGCCTTCTTCAGTGGTGGTGCCGCTGAGAAGGGCACAGCTGTTTGCTGTCTCCGCCCATACGATTAGGCTGGAGTGCGCTTCTGGAGAATCTCATTAAGCTATGTATACCTGTTAAGGCTGTGACGAATGCGTGCACCATCTGGTTTCCGACGTGGATCATCTCGGACTTCATATGCAAAACCTGAATATGTCGATTGGCAACATCTCATCAGCTACAGTCGTTGGAGCCAGGCTCAGCCGTAATTCGAAGAAAGTTTCCAAATACACGGTAAGTGCTTGGTCAAATTATCCCGCACTGGTCGTGTGGGCGGATCCATGCGTGTCGTTGAACTTTGTTGCTTGGTTAGCCTACCTCTTTCCTGTGGCAGAGGTGGAGCGGTGGGCCAATAAGTAAGACCCAGAGCACCTACACCCATCAGCGCGAAGTGTATCTTCAAGCCATTGGGTCTTGTGAGGACCATTTCGAATGACTTTCTTATAAGGTTTTTCCATGGTGGAGGAGTTTCGTTGTGAGTGATTACTTGTGTATTGATAGCGCACACATCACGTCCTGCCATTGGGAGAAATTTGGCAACCCCCCTCGAACTTCCCTCCTCTGGGACGAAACTTCCCCGCCCTCCGCGCCGATCGCCCTTCCCACCAGCTTCCTATGTTCTTTTTTGCAGAAATCCGAAGTTTTATTCACAAAGGTCTTCAGTGACTCGCGGAGTGGAATCCTGTTCGAATGCCAGTTAAAATGGGCAAGGGGGGCCATTAGCACGTATCGAAAACGAGGAATAACCCGATCGGAGAAAAATGGATCGAGAAGAAGTAGGCTAAGAGGGTCAACATCGAAAGCCTTCCCGATGGAGGGCAAATAGTGGACCCCCTCTCTCTCCAGCAGGACAGATGGCGACCCTTGAAGATGCTGCATACAGCGCATTCTGTTCCAGTGCGTACGGCGGAGAGTCACTTTGGGCATTAAGCCTTTTAGGTGTCGTCTACAGTGGGCCGTCCTTCTCCATATTATGATAACCCTATCCCCGCCCATATGATAAGCACGTTTTGCGAACTGAGGTGAATTTTTACCAATATGGTCAGATTTAACAGTGTTCATTACTTCGAGATACCTCTGGAAGAATGTATTCCTTTCTATTTTATTGGTGCATATTATACTTATTAATTTACTTCTCAAATTTTCAGGATGTTGCAAATCTGCTTTCTGGTGATCAATACAACAAATTCGTGGGAGATTCTCGAGCGGTACTCGCTAACATGTCACAGCTGATGAATTCTGCCGAAAGGTAGCTGATCGATACTTATTCCTTCCTGTGGAGATTAAGAGAGACTAAAAGACTGTAGGGTATTCCGTTTAGGTCCCACACGGTCACAGATAACGATGTCGAACGGGCAATGAATCTGACAGATACGGCCGGCGAAATCGTTCAGGATATCCGTCGTCGAGCTGCGGTAGGTGCTTTCAGGATCGGAATCTTCGGGTCTTCTATCGCCTTCACATCCTTCTTGAGAAGCGCTTTGCCATAAAAATGCCTTCCAGGACGCATCTGCTTCCGTAGATCATGCCAAGAACCTCGTCGCCTCTCTTGGAAGCCATTCATCGGCTTTAATCATCGACCCAAGATGGGTGGAATACGCCGAGGAGACATTACATCAACTGGAAGCAGCATCAGCGTGAGTGAAAAATTCTTTTTGTGGACCCGAATCTTCCATACAAAAAGACCAACAAAGTAATCTCGTTGAATTAAGTGACGGCAAACCTGAGGAAGCAACGAGGGTACCGAAGAAGGTCGCAGATGTACAGGATGTACTGAACCAACGTAGCGAAAAATTAAACGAATTGAATGAAAAGCTCAAGGCCGCCCAACAGAAGGTGCTTATTCTCCAAGGCTACCTTAGATTACTTCCAGCATAACATTATTTTTCTTTCAGAGTGAGAACGTCGCTGATTATCTGAACGATTCGCAGAAAATGCTGAAGGAATCTCGGAAGAACTCGGAGGAGGCTCGGAAGGTAGTTTACCTAGGATGCTTTCTGTTCTCTCCAGTCTTCATCTTCGTTTCCCAAGAAAAACATTACCTTTAGGAGACCTGCGCGGTGCCGCTCACACGCGTCTCTCAAGTTGGTTTTGAGTCCCTGGGAGGCTCTTGAGTCCCTGATCAACGATCGCACTTTGGCCTGCACGGTAGCATTAATTCGCGACCCGTTTCAAGGCAGACATGGAGACTTCCGCTTCCTGGTGTGGCAGATACTTCCACCTCCTACACTCCACCTGAGTTATCCTTCTTTTTTGTTGGGGGAGGGAACGAAAGCGGCTAAGTTGTGAGAAGGGGCAGGTTGGAGCGGCTCATTAGGTTGAAGCATAAACAGCTATATGTAATCTGCGGTCATTCAGGCTGCCAACAGTGTGTCGACACTAAAACTTGAAGGTCTTGCAAAAGCCCTGACCGATGGTCGTGATAAGGCTATCGAGGAACACGGCGTCGTCAGTGGTGTACTGCTGGAAGTGAGTGCTACTATAGAACCATTAATTCGCCCGCTAATTGAAAAATTCTAGGTCAAAAACCTTACCGAACAAGCAAAGGACGCTCTGGAATCAGTGGGGAATTCCCTAACAAACTTAGCCGAAGTTCGAGCCGAACTTGCCGAGACCGTTGAGCCGAAACGGGAGAAGCGTGATGTGACCTATGATCAGGTGGCGTTGGAAGCCAGAACTAGAGAGTTGGAAGCCGAGGCCTCGCAACTGAAGCACAACTTTGGTTCAGCTCAACTTGAGTCTCAGGTTCGTTTGCGCGACGTTTGGATTCATTTCACTTGCGCGTGTGACGCGCTAGCTCGCTGTTGTCTAGAAAGCAAATACACCTACTGGACAATCGCTTTATTTTCTGGATAAGACCCTCATGCGCGGTGCACTTCAGGGGCTTTTTACAAACTTTCATTACTGACCGTTTTTTAAGAACGCCGTTGAAGCTGCTACCGCCTATAGCAATATCACCGACTCGCTGAAGAACGCACAAGAAAAGACACAATGGGCAAAAGATGAGATGGCTGAATTGGGCAAAGGTTTGCAAGAGCACAGGTGAATTTTAGTGTCTTTTCTCTTGGAGATAATTTTCCCTTCGCCCTGGGAGCAACTTCAGCTATTTTTCCTTCCACATGGTTTAGTCAGATTATTGCATTTCCCTTTCCCATGCTCAGAAGTGTATGTCATCGGCAATGTTTCTAGCGGGATGCCTGACCTCTTGTATGTGGGCTTTACACACCTATGAAGGTCCGAAAGGGGACGTCGCGGGTACTGTTAGCAGAGCAGGTATTGGGGCTCGGACAGGGGAGGTTCTGGTTGGTGAAAGGGGGGAGGAGGTCAGAAAGACGGTGAACCTCAAGGACACGGTATGTGATGGAAAGCGTAGCCAATTTGAAATAGGAAAGAAAAGTTACCAGGGACTTGTTAAGGAAAATAAAATGCAAGAGAGAACGTCGGAAATGCCTTTCAATAAAACTCTGGCCCTTTCCAGTACAAAGGCAGTGAAATGCGTGTTGGGATGAGACCAGAAACCTGATTTTTCGCGGTGAGCCCTACGACCCCAAAAGAGGAGTGGAGCTTCCGTCCCATACTGCTCTTCCTGTAGCATGGCTGCTTCGTCAGGGCGGCATTCTAGGATAAAGTCTTGAGGCGGATTCACTGGAGGAAAGTGGGATCACCGGAGCATTTCCTCAGCTCCTTTA